GCACTGTTACTGCCCTCCCTTTAGCCCAGCTGATGAAGAATACGGGTGTGATCCTTGCCAATGACGCCAATGCTGAGCGGCTTAAGAGTGTTGTGGGCAACTTGCACCGGCTGGGAGTCACCAACACCGTTATCAGTCACTATGATGGGCGCCAGTTCCCCAAGGTGAGACTCAAGCTGTGTGTCTCCTGAGGCTTCTTGCAGTTGACCTTCTCCCTTCCTGACCTCAGTGTTCAGACTTGACCCTAGTAAATAGTGCGCTGCTGGTTGTGGAAGAGACGTAGGATTCATCTGTATCTTTTCCCCAGGTGGTGGGGGGCTTTGACCGAGTGCTGCTGGATGCTCCCTGCAGTGGCACTGGGGTCATCTCCAAGGACCCAGCCGTGAAGACTAACAAGGTGAGGAGTCAGGTGGTGGCCGCTGAGATGCCTTGGCTGGGTCTCGTAGAGCTGGAAAGTGAAATGGGGACATGCTCTGGGCTCCCTTCTCCTCCTGAGGCTGCCTTTGGGTCTGTTTTTGGGACAGGATGAGAAGGACATCCTGCGCTGTGCTCACCTCCAGAAGGAGTTGCTTCTGAGTGCTATTGACTCTGTCAATGCCACCTCCAAGACAGGAGGCTACCTTGTTTACTGCACCTGTTCTATCATGGTGAGGCCTCTGCCATGGCAGAGCAGGGGAGGCTGGGCTGGGGGGCTCTTTGCCCCTATGAGCTCCCTTCAGCTCCAGCTCTGCTTTTTCCTCCCTTGTTTGTCTTCCCCCAATATCCAGGTGGAAGAGAATGAGTGGGTGGTAGACTATGCTCTGAAAAAGAGGAATGTGCGACTGGTGCCCACAGGCCTAGACTTTGGCCAGGAAGGTTTCACCCGCTTTCGAGAAAGGCGCTTCCACCCCAGTCTGCGTTCTGCCCGACGCTTCTACCCTCATACCCACAATATGGATGGGTTCTTCATTGCCAAGTTCAAGAAATTCTCCAATTCTATCCCTCAGTCCGAGACAGGTGAGTGATCTTTTTCTACCCTTCATCACCACCTTTGCTCTTTTCACCTTTCAGGAGCCTTTATGGCGTGACAGAAGGGAAGGGAAAGGCAAGATTCATGCATCCCTTACTCCAACCTTTGCATGCTTGGATGAGAGAACCCTCTCATTCCAGCTAGAATTGCTTTTGAGTGCTGGACCCCATGTGAATAAGCTGAAGTGTGCATATGGATGGAGGCCTTTTCCTTTATTCTGCCAAGTGGCTGCAGTTGTTCAGCACTAAATACATTCCAAATGAAGGTTGTGGTTTCTTTTCCTTCTTGGCAGAGGGTTGACTTACTGGTACTGGACCTCTGTTGGTCCAGCATTCTCAGCACTGGGTTGGAACAGAGCTCCACAGAGCTTTGTCAGCAGTTCTCAGCCCGTCACACTCATTGCAGATTGTTTTCTCAGCCATCTTGAGGAGTCCGGCCTGGATCTCAAGGGAAGGGTGGGGTTTTCTGAAACAGCCTTGAGAACGCTACTTACTGGGATATAACCCTGGGTTTAATTGCAAGAGGGAGAGAAGAGCTACTTCAGAAATAGTAGAATTTGTCTGGGCGTGGTGGCTCATGCGTATAATCCCAGCACTCACCTGAGGTCAGGAATTCCACATGGTGAAACCCCGTCTCTACTAAAAATATAATAATTAGTTGGGTGTGGTGGTGCATGCCTGTAGTCCCAGCTACTCAGGAGGCTGAGGCAGGAGAATTGCTTGAACCTGGGAGGTGGAGGTTTCAGTAAGCTGAGATCATGCTATTGCTTTCCAGCCTGGGCAACAAGAGCAAAACACTGTCTCAAAAAAAAGAAATAGTAAAATTTGCTATAACTTAAAAAGTACGTATTTTAATTATCCTGCAGTTCATCATAATCCGTGTGGAAAAAAACTTCTCTGATTTAAAAAATAAATAGGCCAGGTATGGTGGTGGCTCATGCCTGTAAATCCCAGTACTTTGGGAGGCTGAAGTAGGAGGATCGCTTAAGACCACGAGTTTGAGACCTGTCTGGGCAACAAAGGGAGACTTTGTCTGTAGTTCCAGCTACTCTGGAGGCTGAGGCAGGAGGATCCCTTGAGCCCCAGGAGTTTGAGGTTGCAGTGAGCTATGATGGCACCACTGTACTCCAGCCTGGGCAACACAGTGAGACTCTGCCTCAAAAAAAAAAAAAAAAAGTAAATAAAATAAAGGCTAGTGCTTCAAATTCATTTAGAAGACCCTGTGAGGCCGGGCGTGGTGGCTCGTGCCTGCCTGTAACCCCAGCACTTAGGGAGGCTGAGGCGGGTGGATCACCCGAGGTCAGGAGTTCGACCAGCTGGTCAACATGGTGAAACCCCGTCTCTACTAAAAATACAAAACTTAGCCGGACATGGTGGCACACGCTTGTGATTGTCGGGAGTCTGAGGCAGGAGAATCGCTTGAACCCAGGAGGCAGAGGTTGCAGTGAGCCGAGATCACACCACTGCACTCCAGCTGGGGCGACAGAGCAAGACTCTGTCTCAAAAAAAAAAAAAAAATACCCAAAACCAATTCATTTTTTCCTTATAGCGTCTTGTTACTTCCTGTCCTCAAGAGGGCGCAGCTTCCTGTAAAAAATCTTTTGGCCCAAGGATAGGCAGTGATTTTTTTTTTTTTTTTTTTTGAGACAATGTCTTGCTCTATTGTTCAGGCTGGACTGCAGTGGTGCAGTCTCAGCTCATTGCAACCTCCACCTTCCAGGTTCAAGTGATTCTTGTGTCTCAGACTCCCAACTAGCTAGGATTACAGGTGTGGACAGGTACCACCATCCCTGGCTAATTTTTATATTTTTAGTAGAGACGATTTCACCATGTTGACTAGGCTGGTCTTGAACTCCTAGCCTCAAGCAATCCACTTGCCTTGGCCTCCCAAAGTGCTGGAATTACAGGTGTGAGCTACCACACCTGGCCTATAAGCAGTGATCTCTTAATACAAGGTTCAAGTAGGACTTGAGTAAAGGCCAAGTTACATTAAGTAATGGGAATTTCGGTAATCTGCTCTTAGGCACTGACCTAATTGTGTGGAGCTCCTGCCCAAGAGATGGCAATTCTCATATTTTAATATGAGAATATTAAAATATGGTGATAGGCCGGGCACGGTGGCTCACGCCTGTAATCCCAGCACTTTGGGAGGCTGAAGTGGGCGGATCACGAGGTCAGGAGATCGAGACCATCCTGGCTAACACGGTGAAACCCTGTCCCCACTAAAAATAAAAAAAATTCTATGGGCGTGGTGGCGGGCGCCTGTAGTCCCAGCTACTCCGGAGGCTGAGGTAGAAGAATGGTGTGAGCCTGGGAGGTGGAGCTTGCAGTGAGCCGAGATCATGCCACTGCACTCCAGCCTGGGCGATAGAGCGAGGCTCTGTCTCAAAAAAAATAAATAAAATAAAATAAAATATGGTGATAAGGCCTATTTTATGACACCATCTGTTTAATTTTAACCCCAGGAGATTCTGAAACAGCCACACCTACAAATGTAGACTTGCCTCAGGTCATCCCCAAGTCTGAGAACAGCAGCCAGCCAGCCAAAAAGGCCAAGGGGGCTGCAAAGACAAAGCAGCAGCTGCAGAAACAGCAACATCCCAAGAAGGCCTCCTTCCAGAAGCCGAATGGCACCTCTAAAGGGGCAGACTCAGAATTGTCCACTGTACCTTCTGTCAGAAAGACCCAAGCTTCCTCCAGGTTCCAGGATAGCAGTCAGCCAGCTGGAAAAGCCGAAGGGATCAGGGAGTCCGAGGTGACTGGGAAGCTAAAGCAACGATCACCTAAATTACAGTCCTCCAAGAAAGTTGCCTTCCTCAAGCAGAATGCCCCTCCCAAGGGCACAGACACAGAAACACTGGCTGTGTTATCCCCAGCCAAGACTCAGGCCACCCTGAAACCTAAGGACCATCATCACCCCCTTGGAAGGGCCAAGGGGGTTGAGAAGCAGCAGTTGCCAGAGCAGCCTTTCAAGAAAGCTGCCTTCCAGAAACAGAATGACACCCCCAAGGGGTTTCAGCCTCCGACTGTGTCTCCCATCAGTTCCAGCCGCCCCCCACCAGCAAAGAGGAAGAAATCTCAGTCCAGGGGCAATGGCCAGCTGCTTCTGTCTTAGATGGTTGAAAACTAGACTGGGGTGGCTCACTGCCATTGTCACCGGGTTGGAACTCTTGCCTCTATGAGGATGCCTTCTCCACTGTGCATACCCATGAAATTTAATACACATTTTACAACCTCTGGCCGCTGAGTATTTTTGAGGGAACTGGCTACTGCCTTTGCTGCTTTAAGGGTAGAGGTGGGAAGGTGGGACTGGGATCTTCTGAGGAGAGGGAATGGTTGGGTGCTACTGAGAAATCAAGTCAGTTTTAGGCTCCTGCAGCCTTGAGTCTTCCCAGGAAGGGAGAGCCCTGGAGTCAGAGCTAGGGGTGATTGAACTCTGGGGAGAGGAGGGCAATAGAAGTGTAGGGGAAGGCTGGGCATGCTGGCTCACGCCTGTAATCCCAGCACTTTGGGAGGCCAAAGTGGGTGAATCACCTGTGGTCAGGAGTTCGAGACCAGCCTGGCTAACATGGTGAAACCTCGTCTCCACTAAAAATACAAAAAATTAGCCGGGCATGGTGGCAGGCACCTGTAATCCTAACTACTCAGAATCGCTTGAACCTGGGAGGCTGAGGTTGCAGTGAGCCGAAATCACGCTACTGCACTCCAGTTTGAGCGACAGTGAGACTCGGTCTCAGAAAAAAAGTAGCGTAGGGGAGATGGGCTTGCCACCAGAACCCATGGGGTACTGGAGGGCCTGGGCTTTACGCCACCCCAGCTGGATTCCAGGCGGTGGCCCCTCATCCCTGGGCTCGGCTTCAGATCCGGAAAGGTCCAGGGTCCGGCCTCCAATTGAAGCCTGTCATTGGCTTCCCCCTCGGGCCCGCCCCCTGACCTCTGCCCTGCCGCCGAGCCTCCTGATTGGTCGACCCTGTCCCGCCGGCGCCGCATTGGCTCTTCTCGCTCGCCCTCCATCCCTGCTCTTGCACTGGTCTGCATCTCCCAGCAGAAGGCGCAGCCATGAATCCGTTATTCGGCCCCAACCTCTTCCTCCTACAGCAGGAGCAGCAGGGCCTGGCCGGGCCGCTGGGGGACTCACTGGGAGGCGACCACTTCGCCGGGGGAGGAGACTTACCCCCGGCGCCTCTCTCGCCGGCCGGCCCTGCTGCCTACTCGCCCCCCGGGCCGGGCCCGGCCCCGCCTGCCGCCATGGCCCTCCGCAATGACCTGGGCTCCAACATCAACGTGCTCAAGACCCTGAACCTCCGGTTCCGCTGCTTCCTGGCCAAGGTGCATGAGCTGGAGCGCCGGAACCGGCTGTTGGAGAAGCAGCTGCAGCAAGCGCTGGAGGAGGGTAAGCAGGGCCGGCGGGGCCTGGGTCGTCGCGACCAGGCCGTGCAGACCGGCTTCGTCAGCCCCATCCGGCCCCTGGGGCTGCCGCTGGGCGCCCGGCCGGCCGCTGTCTGCAGCCCGTCGGCGCGGGTGCTGGGCTCGCCCGCGCGCTCTCCGGCCGGCCCCCTCGCGCCCTCCGCGGCCAGTCTCTCGTCGTCTTCCACCTCCACCTCCACCGCCTACTCCTCGTCTGCCCGCTTCATGCCCGGCACCATCTGGTCATTCTCGCACGCCCGCCGGCTCGGGCCGGGACTGGAGCCCACTCTGGTGCAAGGGCCTGGCTTGTCGTGGGTGCACCCGGATGGGGTGGGCGTCCAAATCGACACCATCACGCCTGAGATCCGCGCGCTCTACAACGTGCTGGCCAAAGTGAAGCGGGAGCGGGACGAGTACAAGCGGAGGTAGGGATTGGGAAGAGGGGACAGGGCTCTCTGTGTCATGCCCCTCACAACGGGCCGGGAGTCGGTGTGGGTTCCGAAGAATCAGGGGTGAAAAGAATGAGAGGAAAGTTTGTGCTGTATAATGAGGAGCTTGGAAGGAATTGGACGCAGGGAGACTAGAATCTGCAGAGAATGCAGAAGCCCCACTCGTGACAGGAAGAAGGACGCTGGGAGCGGAACACTGGGGAATTCCTACTTTTCCGGCTTGTCTCTGCATCCAGGCTTAACTGCGGGCTTTGTGGGTGTGAAAGGGACTGGGTCTGAGCCCTACCGGTCTCAGCCCTGGGGCAGTTTAGGGATATAAACTTGAAAAGTAGGAGGCAAGGATATAGCGTCAATTTGGGAGAGTAAATTGAGTGAAATTGGAAGCGGGTGGTAAGGAAGGGGCTGTACCTTGCAACAGGTGATTCTTTCACAGCCCAAGGTTTCTCAAAGAATACTGATGGAAACCAGGTACCTGCTGTGGTTTCATAGGAAAAGCTCCGGGACCTCATTGCTTGAGTAGGTCAACAAAGTGGGAAAAGAAAGAGTGAAGGGAATTCCCTAGGGTGAGGGTGGAGAGCAGGGCTGATGGGGGAATCTCTTGGCAGTATAAAACGCCAGCGGTGGAGGGAGAGTGGAGAGCCAGCAGGGGACTGAGCGGGGAGAAGCTGGGATATGGACACTCCCTAGGACTGCGAGGCCGCGGGGCGGGCCCAGTGCATTCTGTGGATGAAGATTTGGCTGTCTGAGAGGAGCCCGGTCCCAAGGGGCAAGGGGAAGGGATGTGATGCCAGGAGTGCTGGCTGTATACCAAGTGGATTCCTTAGACGGCTGATAACCAAGTCGATAGGACAGGTGTGAGAACAGAGGTAGTGTCTTGCAGACTCCAACCCATGCCTTGAGGAGGAAGGCAGTGACTGACAGTCAGAGAAGACTGGTTTGGCGTCTCCCCTCTCATCTCAGCTATTATGACCCCTTGTGGGCGGGCCCGGGAACTACCTATGCAGCCCAGTGTAGCCGAGATTCAGCACTGGGTGAGGATTGGCCGAATGTTCTAGGAAATGACCGCTGGGTGTGGGGGCGACCTTCAGGGATCTCCACCCTGCTGGAGTTTACCAGATCAGAGATCAGCAGGCTTTCTGAGCTTGAGTCCTGTCCTTGTGCTGGCTTCCTTAGTTGTGGTCCATGTTACGTGTCCTTGGGAGTTTCCGTTGTCCTGAAGTCATTCTGGCACCCGAACCAGCCTGCTCTGTCCGTGCAGGAGTTAACTAACACACTCAGCAGTGAAACAGGCACAGTTCTGGAATACATCCATAACCACAGGAACAACTGCTGTTCTCAGGAGCTTTTTTCTTTTTTTTTTTTTTTTTTAACTGAAGGAGCGTTTGTCCTTGGTCCAGCTGTCCAGGGCAGGAAAGAGTTACTCCTTGGGGACTGATTAGCTCATAGCTCTGCAGCACACTGCTGTGTAGAAGGCCGTAGCTGGACTTGGATGGTACGTGATACTGGCAGTGACTCTTCTTCCACCCCAGATCCCTTGCCCTCATTCTGGTCTCTTTATAGCAACACTGTAACTCCTGTTTTCTGCCTGGAAGGCCTGGGATGGCTTGAGCGCTAAACTGGGAGGTAGCTGAAGGCCTCCTGGGTTCTATTTTCAGCTCCCCTGCCTTGCGTGTGACCTTTTTTTGAGCCCCCATTTTTCCAACCTAGGATTGGTCCCTGCTTTCTCTCTTCAACCCAGGGATAGAGTTTTTTCTAAGAGTGGTGTTTGGTTCATGCAGAATGCATGGAAATCGCTCTCAGATTCTGCCCATGTTAAGAGAACCTTGTAAGTGAGACCAGATGGAAATGGAGGTGAAAATGAACCTGTTTGTGTGAAATCTGGCTAAAGAACAATAGAATTGTAGTGGACTTCCAGGTGATTCATTTTTAGATTTTTTACCCTGTAAGATTTCCTTAAGCTTAACCTTTAGCTAACCGCCTTCCTTAAGTTTCTTCCAGGCTTTGTTGAGCTCACTGTCAGATAGTCCCTCCTGCCCTCCCTCACACATCTTGTCCAGAGTTAGCATGCCCTTGACAGGTTTACTGTCTTCCTCGAGGGACTCGTGGGCTCCAGGGGCATGAGGGCACCACAGTTCATGCCTTCACATCGTAGATGAAGAAACCAAGACCCAGAAAAGATAAGGGGCTGAGCTAAGAAAACATACAACCTGATGCAACTATGGCCCTTAGTGGCCTGACTGTGTGCATGAGAATGCCAGGGGGGAGGGGAGAAGCACCTGTGGGACACACAGGGAAGCGGGCTGGGAGCCAGGAAGGCTGGGAGCTGGGCTGTGTGGGGAGCCCGGCTGTGTGGGGAGCTGGCAGGGTGGTGGCTGGGCTGGCTGCCTCCTCCTGCTCTGCCCAGCAGGGAGGGGCAGCCGAGGTGATGTAGAGGAGTTATTATTAGGAATACTGCAGTGCGGCTGTGAGTGAGGAGAATGGGACCCAGAGGCTGACATAGGAAGGAAGATGGAGGGAAGGGGAAGAAAGGGCTTAAGCCAAGGCTTCGGAGGCTGCCCACTCAGATTTTCATTTTTCTTGCTGTCTTCTTGGCCCCTTCCTAACCACCTTTCTTGTGTTGAAGTTTCTCTCTTGGTGCAGTTCCCCTCCTTTCTCAGGCTGGCAGAAGGGATGAGCTCACAGGAACAGGGTCTGAGATGTGCTGCTACGCCAGCTAGACTGCGGGGCCCTGGAACGCCGGGCAGGTCCTAAGCAGCACATTGCCCTGGCTTCCATCTCTGTGATGGAGTGGAATATGCTCCGCCTGCCATGGCTGATGGGACATGACAAAGCTGGCTCTGGGAAGCATGCCCTACCTAGGACCCTGCCCTGTGGCCCAGCGTGTCGTCCAGCCCACCTGCAGCCTTCATCTCTGGACTCTGGGCCCCGCAAGAGGCTGCTTCTAGTTCTCATCCGCCGTACTCACCGGGCCCCTTTACATACTCTGCTTTCTCTTTGCCTCTGGGTTGGAGCGCTAGTAACCCCAGGCTCGTGTGTCCACTGCTGTCATGCTGCTGTAGGACTTCTGGCCTCTGAGCCAGCCTGCCGCCTCTCTGTGACTCACTTAGAGGAGGCTCTGGGTGGGCAGTTTCTGGAGCTTGTGGGGAAGGACTTTGAGTGTCTCCTACCAGGCTCTTGACCCACTCTGTTGATACAGTATGTGTCCTGCAGATGCTTTTACAGGGTTAAATGATACCACAAGAGGCAGGGCAGCGGGCTTGACGAGCTCTGTTCTGGTGCGGGCAGGAGGCGGGAGCCTGGATCTGTGCGACTGAAGGTGGGAGACTGGGCCGGGTGGACCTGGTGGTCTGGTGTGGGCAGGCGGTGGGCGATGAGGCCAGCCAGACAGCTGGCTGAGCTGGGGCCTGAGCGGGGATGGGCGCCGCAGAGGACTGGAGCCTCAGCAGTTGCCCAAACAGAGCTCCTGGTGTGTGGCCCGGAGGTTCCGGGAAGGCAGCTGGCGAGCTGGACGCCCGTCAGGAAGCACAGAGCCACGTGACAGCTGCAGTTGGTCACCAGCTGGCTGGCCAGGCATTCCCGTGCCCTGCTTCTCCCCATCCAGGGAACCAGAACTGGGGTCTGAGGCCTGAGCCAGAGAGGTGGGGACAGGGAGCCATGGGGGCAGGGAAGCACTCTGTACCTAAGCTCTCTCTGCCCTTCCCATGTCTGTCAGGTGGGAAGAGGAGTACACGGTGCGGATCCAGCTGCAAGACCGTGTAAATGAGCTCCAGGAGGTGAGGGTGGCACCCTACTTGCTGCTGGTGCTTCACTGGGTGCCCCTGTCTGCCCATGACCCTGCTGCCATCTCCTGTCCCTCCTTGTCATCTTTATCTTCCTTCCACCTCGGCAGTGCCACTAACATCAGGGTTTCTCCCAACTGCAGGAAGCCCAGGAGGCTGATGCCTGCCAGGAGGAGCTGGCACTGAAGGTGGAACAGTTGAAGGCTGAGCTGGTGGTCTTCAAGGGGCTCATGAGTAATGTGAGTGCAGCCCCAGGCTTCCCCGAGGGTCGAAGTGAGGCTTCTGAGGCCAGAGGAGCAGGCCCTTCTAGTGTTGGCCTGTTGGTGTCCCATCCACGGCTCCTCCCCTTCTTTTTGCTCTCCTTCCCTTTTCCCCCAGCCACCCCTAACTCCAGAGAAAGAGAAGGAACAAAAGTCTTGGTGTTGCGTCACAGAGGTGGCGAGCTTCTGAGGGCCTAGGGTTACAGAGCAGTTAGTGAGCGGCTTCCGGGGTGGAGGCTCTGCAGCTGGCACCGGGGCCCTGGGCCGATTCCTCAGCCTCTGAGGCGTCATCTTTGGCGTGGGGAAATAAAGGCGTGCCCTCTGCAGGAGTATGGTGGAGGTGATCATGTACTCAGGACGGTGCCCGGCACGCAGTGTTAGCTGGAAGAGTGTGTGAGCTGTTGCGATTAGTATAGTCCTTTCTCCACTCTTACAATTCCCAGGTGTCTCTTTCTCTCTGGGGCTGTAAGTTCCAGGAGGATGAGGACCGCTAATGGTTCCAGTGAGCCCCTGTATGTCCCGGGCACTGGCCATGCTCTTCAGGGCTTCCGTTTGGCCAGGGAGCAGCGGCCCCAGTTGCCCGTTGCCCAGTATATGCACACAGTGCTGTGGGGGGGGCCCCGCTCCCCAGGAAGAGGGGTGCACTCAGCTCAGGGAGACTCCACAGAAAAGGCACCGGTGCAATGTGGTGGGAAGGATGAGGACCTTGCCAGGCCTCATTCGTCCTTGTCTGGAGAACTGGCCGCCTCCTCACTGTTCCCTGGGCTCCCTGGACAGAACCTGTCGGAGCTGGACACCAAGATCCAGGAGAAAGCCATGAAGGTGGATATGGACATCTGCCGCCGCATCGACATCACTGCCAAGCTCTGCGATGTGGCTCAGCAGCGCAACTGCGAGGACATGATCCAGATGTTCCAGGTGAGGACGGAGCTGCCCTCTGCTCTCAGGGGTGGGTGGGGCAGGTAGATGCTTCCTTGGCGGCTGGCCTGGAACGCAGGCCCTGCCTCCTGCTTGGGGAGCCTTACCTGGCACCTGGGGCCCTCACGGGGCTAGGCTGGGGGGTAAGGAGCAGCGTCAGGAGGGGCATTGTGGAAGCGGTCTCTAACGCCGTCTCTCCCTTCCCCCTCTCTCTCCTCTGTCTGCTTCCTCTCCTCTCTTCCTCTTATCTTCTCTCTTGCCTTCTCCACAGAAGAAGCTGGTTAGTTTGATCTCATGCAAGCTTATTAATGTCCCAGTCCCAGTTCTAAGCTGCCTAGGCCTCCTGGCCCTCAGTTTGGGCCCGCTGGGCTCTTGAGCACTGATTTTTTTCTGCCCTTTCTCTTTTCCTTGCTCTTCCCCCTTTTTCTCTCTATCTCTTGTTCTCTTGACTGCATTTCTTTCTCTCCCTTCTCCCCTGGCTTTCCAGATCTGGATGTGATTCAGGTTCTCCTTTGTACACATTGCACCCTCATCCTCCTTGCAACCTAAAGCTTTTTTTTTAGTTGAGTCATTTAATCAGAAAGACTTTTTGTAGAAAATAAATTTCCTCTTGAGCCATCATGCACATCTGACTGCGGCCCCAGCGAGCCCTTCCTCCCTTGTCTGACTCTCTCTTTCTCGATTTCTTCTTGTTCTGCCTTCTCAGTCTGCAGCCCTGGCCTCTGCTGTGTGTCTGTGTGCCTGGCCCTTGGTGACTGTCCGTGTTTCTGTTCCTGTCATTGTAACTGTGACTTTTCTCTCTGTCTGCCCCACCCTTCCTGCTGGTTCACGCTTCTCCCCAATTCCCGCCCTCTCTGCCCGGCCTCCCGCTCCCGCCCTTTCTCCTCATGCACCCGGCCTCGTCTCTGTAGTCTCTGCACTTGTCTCCCATTAAGGTCCCATCCATGGGGGGGCGGAAGCGGGAGCGCAAGGCTGCCGTCGAGGAGGACACCTCCCTGTCGGAGAGTGAGGGGCCCCGCCAGCCCGATGGGGATGAGGAGGAGAGCACAGCCCTCAGCATCAACGAGGAGATGCAGCGCATGCTCAACCAGCTGTGAGTCCGCAGGCCGTGCTCCCGTAGCACCGATGCCACAGCAGCCCAGGAGGCCGGAGCTCCCCAGTCCCCCGCCAGGACGAGGCCCCGCCCGCCCTGACACCCGGGTTCCCTGTCTCTAGGAGGGAGTATGATTTTGAGGACGACTGTGACAGCCTGACTTGGGAGGAGACTGAGGAGACCCTGCTGCTTTGGGAGGATTTCTCAGGCTATGCCATGGCAGCTGCAGAGGCCCAGGGAGAGGTAACCTCTGCTCCCGGCCTCAGGGCCCTCTGGCTCTGCCTCTCCAGCCTGACGCCCACCCCCCCGCTCCTCTCCTCGCTCTGTCCCCCCATGTGGCTGTCATCCTCTACCTGCGTCTCCCCTCTTCCTTTATCCTTTTGCTTTTCTTTCTCCAGTTTCTTTAACCGGACTTCCTCTCTCTCTCTCTCTCCCTGACTTGGCCCTTGGAATGCGCCCTATCCCATCCCTCCCTGGCTGGCCTCCCCGGCTTCCCTTTCTACTCCAGCAGCAGGAAGATAGCCTGGAGAAGGTGATTAAAGATACGGAGTCCCTGTTCAAAACCCGGGAGAAGGAGTATCAGGAGACCATTGACCAGATAGAGGTAAGGGCAGGAGCGGAAGCCAGGGGCACAGTGTCCCAGAGGGTTCTGAGTGGGGCTGCAGGTGCAGTGGCCTCATCCCTCCTGCAGGACCCTAGAGACCAAGGTCTTGGGAGGAGGAGTGATCTCTCAGCTATAGTCCTTCTGGTGGGCTCTGAAGACCTCAGGCTCTAGAAGCAAAGAGATGTTGGTTCAAATCTCAGCTCTGTTACTTACAACCACTCTGAACGTGTAACAAGTTACTTGTTCCCTCTGAGCCCCTTCCTTCCTCCCTCCCTCCCTCCCTCCCTCCCTTTTTCTCTCTCTCTCTCTCTTCCCCTCTCTCCCTCTCTCCCTCCCTCCCTCCCTCCCTTGTCTTTCTGTCCTTTCTTTTTTGAGACAAGGTCTCACTCTGTTTCACTCTGTTGCCTAGGCTGGAGTGATCCTCCCACCCCAGCCTTCTGGGTAGCTGGGACCACAGGTGTGCGCCACCACACCCAGCTAATTTTTATTTTTTATTTTTTGTAGAGATGGGGTCTCCCTGTGTTTCCCAGGCAGGTCTTAAACTCTTGGGCTCAAGTGATCCTCCTGCCTCGGCCTCCCAAAGTGCTAGAATTAAAGGCACGAGCCATGTGTCCTGTCCTGTACCTGTTTCTTTCTTTTCTTTTTTCTTTTCTTTTCTTTTCTTTTTTCTTTTCTTTTCTTTTCTTTTTCTTTCTTTTCTTTTCTTTCTTTTTTTTTTTTTTGAGACAGGGTCTTGTTCTGTCACTCCAGGCTCACTGCAGCCTTGATCTTCTGGATCCAAGCAATCCTTCTACCTCAGCCTCCCAAGTAGCTGGGACCACAGGCGTGTGCTACCACGCCCGGCTAATTTTTTGGATTTTTTACAGAGACAGGGTCTCACTATGCTTTCCAGGCTGGCCTCAAACTTCTGGGTTCAAGCAGTCCTCCTAACTCGGCCTCCCAAAGTGTTGGGATTACAGGCATGAGCCACTGCGCCTGGCCTTTTTATTTGTAAAATGAGGAATTTAATAGTACCTCACCTATAGGGTTGTTTAGAAGACCGGATGAAATAATGCACATATGGAAAGCTTAGGGCAGTGTCTGGCTCATAGCGAGTGTAGCATAGTGGGGACCATTTTATTATTATTAACACTATCAGTGCCATAGCACTGAGACGGACCGGGACTTTCCTGTTTCTTCCACTCAGCCGCTGAGATAACAGAAGTCTCCATGCTTTTTCCCAAGCCTTGAAGTACCTTCTAGAGGTACCTAGAGGCAAGTGGAGCTGGTGCTTTAACTCAAACTCTAGGCTTTAGGACCTGCAAGAAGGATTTGTGGAGGCCGGGCGCGGTGGCTCACGCCTGTAATCGCAGCACTTTGGGAGGCCAAGGTGGGCGGATCACGAGGTCAGGAGATGGAGACCATGCTGGCTAACACGGTGAAATCCTGTCTCTACGAAAAATACAAAAAAAATTAGCCGGGCGTGGTGGCGGACGCCTGTAGCCCCAGCTACTCGCTACTCAGGAGGCTGAGGCAGGAGAATGACATGAACCCGGGAGGCAGAGTTTGCAGTGAGCCGAGATTGTGCCACTGCTCTCCAGCTGGGTGACAGAGTGAGACTCTGTCTCAAAAAAAAGAAAAAAAAAAAAAGGAAGGATTTGTGGAACCATAGAATGGAGGTTGCTGTGGGAGGAGGGATGGACGGGACCCCTGTGAGCTCTCCTGGCCTGGTGAGATGGTGCTTTCCTGACGCTCTGACTTGAGGAGAGGCATGGAGCCTTCTCTGACTCTCAGCCTCTCTTCAAGCCCATGTGGGAGATTCATACAGTAGTGCCCTCTTACCTGCAGGGCATGTGTTCCAGGACCCACAGTGGATGCCTGAAACCAAAGATAGCACTGACCCCCTGATAGCTTGGGTCCAGGTGCTGTCAACCGGAACGTGTTTCTGTTCATGTCTTCCACCCACACATTCAATGCTTTTTCTGTCTTAACTAAGACTTAGCATGCGGTGTGGCAGTACCTTTTGCAGTTCGAGGTGTGACAGCAAAACTGGCACAAACTTCTTTTTCCTTCTTTACAATTTCACGGATAGAAGATTCTTACTATAGACCTTAGTAACCTCAGTATCGGATTCTTTTTCTTATTAAGTTGAAAACTTTTACCTTTTCACTTAAAGGGAGCACATTTTGGCTTCTCTTTGGCATATCCAAATTGCCAGCATCACTACTCTTGTGCTTTGGGGCCATTATGAAGTAAAAGTAAGGGTTCCTTGAACACAGGCCCTGCGATACCATGACAGTCAATCTGATCACTGAGATGGCTACCAAGTAACTAATGGGCAGGCAGTGCAGACAGTGTGGATCCTTGGGACAGAGGGAGGGTTCATGTCCCGGTCTGGATAGAGTGAGATTTTTTTTTTCCCCCAAGATGGAGTCTCGCTCTGTGTCGCCCAGGCTGGAGTGCAGTGGCGCGATCTCGGCTCACTGCAAGCTCCACCTCCCGAGTTCACCCCATTCTCCTGCCTCAGCCTTCCGAGTAGCTGGGTCTACAGGCGCCCGTCACCACGCCCGGCTAATTTTTTTTGTATTTTTCGTAGAGATGGGGTTTCACAGTGTTAGCCAGAATGGTCTCCAACTCCTGACCTCATGATCCGCCCGCCTCGTCCTCCCAAAGTGCTGGGATTATAGGCGTGAGCCACTGCACCTGGCCTGGAATCTTTCATTTAATATTTTCAGATCAAGGTTTACCTTTGGGTACCTGAAGCCGTGGAAAGTGAAACCAGTGGATAAGGAGGGAGTGACTTTATTTTTATTGCTCTCACATTGCATGTGTTTGAGAAAGAAGTTGAGAAATTATTTTCCTATATACTCATTCTCCCAACACACATCAAACTGTCCTGCTTCTTCATCAAACCCGGTTTTCTTGGCCAGGTAGATGAGATTTCGTGGATTTGTGCTGCTAGCTAAAGACATGGCAAGGGAAACCAGTCGTCCCCACCCTTCTGTCTACCCTGGCTCGCTGTTTCCTCCCTCCTGCTTACCTGATTCTTGCCTCCCTCTTTTGGATGGTGGGTTTAAGGTCTGTATTTTCACTGCATCTTCAACGAAGTAGAGGCCTTTGTGCAGCCATCTTCGTGAAGAAGAGATCTCGGGCTGCCATCTCTCCCTAGTCTTCCCTGGACCTCAAGTGCCCAGTGTAAAACATGATCTGAAAGAACAAAAATAATATCTTAAATGGAATAATGCCTTTTAAGCTATTTTTGGCTGGGAGCGGTGGCTCTTGCATGTAATCCCAGCACTTTGGGAGGCCAACGCAGGCAGATCACTTGAGGTCAGGAGTTCGAGACCAGCCTGGCCACCAACATGTGAAACCCCGTCTCTACTAAAAATGCAAAAATCAGCCAGGCATTGTGGTGGGCATCTGTAATCCCAGCTACTTGGGAGGCTGAGGCAGGAGAATTGCTGGAATCTGGGAGGTGGAGGCTGCAGTGAACTGAGATTGTGCCACTGTGCTACAGGCTGTGCAACAGAGCTAGACTCCGTCTCAAAAAAAAAAAAAAAGGTATTTTCAAATCATGACTCCTCCTCTCTCCCAGTACAATGACTTTAGGCAGCAGTCCCCAACCTTTCTGGTACCAGGGACTGGTTTTGTGGAAGACAGTTTTTCCACTCACCCGGGGGGGAATGGTTTTGGGATGATTCAAGCACGTTACATTTATTGTGTACTTTGTTACTATTTTTAAAAATTATTTTATTTTATTTTTTTTGAGACAGAGTTTCGCTCTTGTTGCCCAAGCTGGAGTGCAGTGGCACAATCTTGGCTCACTGCAACCTCTGCCTTCCGGGCTCAAGCGATTCTCCTGCCTCAGCCTCCCAAGTAGCTGGGATTACAGGCATGTGCCACCACGCCTGGCTAATTTTGTATTTTTAGTAGAGACGGGGTTTCTCCATGTTGGTCAGGCTGGTCTTGAACTCCCTACCTCAGGTGATCCACCCGCCTCAGCCTCCCAAAGTGCTGGGATTACAGGCGTAGGCCACCATGCCCAGCCTGTGCACTTTATTTCTATTTTTATTACATTTAATATATAATGAAATAATTATATAACTCACCATAATGTAGAATCAGTGGGAGCCCTGAGCTTGTTTTCTTGCAACTAGACAGTCCCATCGGGGGCTGATGGGAGACAGTGACAGATCATCAGGCATTAGAATCTCATAAGGAGCACGTAACCTAGATCCCTCGCATGCGCAGTTCACAGTAGGATTCACGCTGCTGTGAGAATCTAATGCTGCCGCGGATCTGACAGGAGGTGGAGCTCGGGCCGTATGCCAGTGATGGGGAGCGGCTGCAAATACAGATGAACCTTCACTCACTTGCCCACTGCTCACCTCCTGCTGTTCGGCCTGGTTCCTAACAGGCCACGGACAGGTACTGGCCCGTGGCCTGGGGTTTGGGGACTTCTGCATTAGGGGAACTGTTAGGAGGACTTGCTGACCTCAGGAGTACCCAAGGTGCCTTTATCTTTGTGACCTTTGATCTCTCAGGGTGACTAAGATGGAGCAAGGACCAGTTCCTGTGGCAAAGCCAAGGCCCGGAGTGGTGGGCGGGAGGCAGTTCTTCCCCACTGCTCCTCACCTCTCTCCATCTCCTCCCCTCTCACCCCCAAGTCTGGTCACACAGGGAGCCTGCAGTTTTCAAGGTAGCTTGTCAAGGACATCTCCTGACTTGCACGTTCACCTCCTGACCTTGTTCCTGCTGTAAATCTGTGAATTAAGTGGGGACATAGACATATGCAGAGACTACTGGTGGCAGTACTAGCCTTGTATTTCAGTAGAATATATTTGGTTCATTTCCTTCTTCCCAGTCTCCCTGAGTGATGGTTCCAGAACCCAGCCCCCTGCACTCCAGCTTTTCCAAGGTGGAGAAATTGGCGTGTAGGCAGCTGCTCTGAACAAGGACTGGTGGCTCTGTATTTTCTCCCTGGGTTGAACAGTCACCGTGTCCTGTTCCTCCCACTACTGTGGGGCTCCAGCTGTGGAGCCAAGGCTACCACTGAAGCTGTCCCCACTGGGGCTTCTCACCCAGCCAGCCACCATCTCACCCCAGATGTCACTGTCCTGATCATCTCTGTTGTCTGGCCCTGTAACCTGTTTCCATCTTTCTCTAAGTTCCCACCCTCTCTGTCCAATCCAGATTATCACAGCTGGTATCTTCCCCATTCTCTTCACTCAGGCAGTCACGAACGTCATCTCCAGGCAGTTTCATTTTGCCTCCCCTTGTGGCCCCTGCCCTTTGTACCCAAAACAAAGAGAGGCAGTCGGCTGTCCCTGGCACAGAGTTTGTGCTGCCTGGGCCCTGCCCCTCTGCCTGCCTCAGAGTCTGGGCTGAAGAATGGGCCCTGGGAGGGAGACTGGATTTCTTTGATTCTGAGCCCCATGTTTTCCACGTGTGACATTTCTGAAGTCAGGACATGTGTCAGAATCAATGGCACCTCCAATATGGGAGTCTTCCTTGTAGTGTCTCAGAATGGCTTTTAGGTGAGAAAATAAAGTGATAAGGAGAAAATGGTAAGAGGATTGGGCCCCTTTCAGCAGTGAGCCAGGCTTCTTGTATGCCGCGGTCTCGTGGGCACGTCACGGAGTGAGTTAATTCCCTTCGAGGTCTGGGTCTGCCAGGATGAGGAAGACCCGTTGCTAACCCTTACAGGAGCTCACAGTGCAGGGGATGAGGGATGAGCCAGGCCCGGCGGGAACCCGTGTGGCCCTGGGAGCCTGTGGATCTGCTCCATTCCGCCCACACTGACTTTCCTCACCACTCTTACCAGTCTTAAAAGCACACAGCCTGCCGCAGTCCCTTTGCATTCCTCCACAGGCAAAGATTTCCAGGAAACCAGAGGAAATGATAGCATATTGGGTGCCTTCTGCCTTGGTCTGATTTATTTTAAAGTCTGAGCCTTCAGTAATGGCTGCCTGGGCCCCCAGCCCAGCCACTGCTCTTGGCCTGTTAGCCTCCTGGCACGGGGAACAGAGGCGCTGTGAACCCCAACTGCTAACCCTGATGGCCCTGCCTGCCCCACCACAGCTGGAGCTGGCCACGGCCAAGAACGACATGAACCGGCACCTGCATGAGTACATGGAGATGTGTAGCATGAAGCGCGGCCTGGACGTGCAGATGGAGACCTGCCGCCGGCTCATCACCCAGTCCGGAGACCGGTAGGCGCCTCCCCTGGGCATGGGGCCTTCCGGGGGGACGCAGCGGGGAGAAAGGTTGGAACACAGCCCCAAAGACCCTCAGGCAGTGACTGGGTCACATCTTGCTGTGGGGCTGCCCTTTGGGAGTCACCTGGTGTGGCTGTCCCAGACCCACAGCTCTCTCCCTTGGCAGTTGGAAGACGCTGTGTCCATTCATGGCGGGAGGACTGAAACCTCCCAAGGCCACCAGCTCTGGTGGTTCCCCTGGTTAGAGGCAGTTTGAAAACTGGCAAGGAACAGAAGGGTTGTGGGGGCAGATTTTTATCTAACGTCAGGGCCATGATTTATGCATTTGACCCTGTGTAAGTTACACCGCAACAAGAAAGTGAATTTTTAAAAATCACAGAAATACTGCAGATAGACATAAAGCCAACGCCCTAGAGTCAGGGTGCTGAAGGCTCGGCAGCTTCTCTCCTCTCCTGTGACTTCAGCTAGTTCGTTCGTTCTTTTTTTTTTTCTGGCTCACTACAACCTCTGCCTCCTGGGTTCAAGGGAGTATCTTGCCTCATGCTCCCAAGTAGCTGGGATTACAGGCGCCTACCACCACACCTGGCTAATGTTTGCACATTTAGTAGAGATGGGGTTTCACCATGTTGGCCAGGCTCGCCTGGAACTCCTGACGTCGTGATCCACCCGCCTTGGCCTCCCAAAGTGCTGGAATTACGGGCGTGAGCCATCGTGCCTGACCTCAGCCTCAGTTCCCAAGACACAGGCGGGGCCCATTTCCCTGTCAGGGTGGGGTTGGAGAGAGTTCAGCCCCTGCCGCTCCCTCGCCGTCCCGCGGCCCCGCCCTCGCTTCCGGTACTGCTCACCTGCTGCCAGAGGATGAGGCGGCAGGAAGAGGAGTGCCGTCTTCAGGATTCCGGCCTGCCCCACGGTTGACGACTGGTGTTTTTTTCTAGAAAGTCTCCTGCTTTCGCTGCGGTCCCGCTTAGCGACCCGCCGCCGCCGCCAAGCGAGGCTGAGGACTCCGATCGCGATGTCTCATCTGATAGCTCCATGAGATAGAGACCTGCCCCTCCCTTGCACCGAGGCCCTCGCAGCTGGGAACTCAGCAAGGCAGCGGGTGGGGCTGCACCGAGGGGAGCATCAGCTGCAGCAGTGCACCGGGCCTGGCCCCTGGGGACAGGCGCTCCTCCCTCGGGCTTCCTCCCTCGGGCTTGGCTTCTCCAGGGCTCTGCGGTGTCTGGAGCTAGGCTTGGCCCTACCATTCTGGGGCCGTTTCCACCACAGTTGGGGCTCTCCGGCCTTCACGCGTGGGTGTCTGCTACTTCTCCATCTTTAAAATGCTGCCAGAGCGATTGCGGCGCCTCACCTTGTCCACCTATCAGGAATGTGAATGTGGGAACTTTCCTCCATGCCTGTTGTCCGGAGCCAGCTCACTGTCTTCCGCACTGGTGCTGACTGGCCCAGGCACTGGCGTGGAATAGAACGCCACTGGAGGCTACACATGGCCTCTGCAGCACACGCAGTTGGAGAGGGCTTCTGTCCCTGTCAGCGGCGGAGGGCGTTGGGGCTGGCCGGGGCACCTTGTCCCTGCTTTGGTCCACATGCTCACGCTGTCCACCTGCTGGGTGGAGTGTATGTGGCTGTGACCCTCCCTCGTGGATATGCCGTGCTTTAAAGAGGCCTTAGTGCCCGGGATGGGCACAGTATTTTGAAGGGAGGTGGGAGCTCTTGCTCTCCTGGTCACTGCAGAATGACAGAGAAGGTGAAGCTCCGGGCGTGTGTGCGCGGGTGTATGTGCGCTCAGGGTCTGTTTAAGTATTAGCTAAACATGTGCCTCCTCCGTGTCTGTCATACTCTGAGACCAACAGGCTACAGTGTCGCTGATTCTTGGAAAAGCCTGGAGAAACGGGGGAGATGCAATTCACAATGCCTTGGTATAGGAGGCTGTGTTGAGCTGACATTTAAATGGATTCTTTAATAATAATGAAACTGGCGAGTATTTAATGTGCACTTTGGTGTCACTGTCTCAAGCACGTCCTAATATTCACTAGTTTGAACTCTGAGGTAGGTACTTTTTTTTTTTTTTTTTGAGGTGGAGCCTCGTACTCTGTTGCCCAGGCTGGAGTGCAGTGGTGTGGTCTCAGCTCACTGCAGCCTCCACCTCCCGGATTCAAGCGATTCTCCTGCTTCAGCACGCCTGTAGCTGGGACTGTAGGTGTGCGCCATCACTCCCGGCTTATTTTTGTAGTTTTAGTAGAAACGGGGTTTCACCATGTTGGCCAGGCTGGTCTCAAACTCCTGACCTCAGGTGAGCCGCCCACCTTGGCCTCCCAAAGTGCTGGGATTACAGGTGTGTGCGCTCTACTGAGGTATGTACTTTTGTCTCCACTAGGTAAGTCCACGTGCAAAGTGGCGTCCCGGAGTAACTGCCCAAAGCAATTGAGCCTTTCAGTGGCAGAGCCAGGGGTCTGGACCTAGGTCTCAGTGACACGCCTTGCCCCTACCCAAGCTCCCTTAAGGGTGATGATGGAAAGTCACCCTGACACATCTCTTCCTCAGAACCGTGCGAGGTGGGCGCTAACTTCACCGAGTTTTAAAGGTTCTATAGCGCTGCCCATCTTGGGCATGGTTTTAGGTTCTTGTTTACCTAGATGAATCCTCCTGAAGACCTTAGGGGCTGGCCACAATGACGTCCTCAGCTAAGACAGGCGGGCACAGAAAGCAGGAGTCCTTGCTGAAGACCTCACAGCTGCGGAGGCCAAGCTGGAATTACCCGCTGCAGCTCAGCTCCAGGCTGAGGTCTACTAACCAGTCACCAGCCCAGTGTGAACCCCGACTTCCTCCACCAGTCACTCTCCCTGGGGCTGCCCATAGAACAGCTTCTTCCATGTTTGGCCAACAGCAGATAGCCTAGGACTGGAGCAAGCCTTGTTCTCTGAAGTAGTGGTGCTAGCTTTCTGTAGCACTCAGCCTGAGCAGGAAGCAAATGGCAAGCAAGGCTGTTGGGAGGCCCTACCCTCAATCTGAGGGGAACATACCAGGTCCCTCCCAGCAAGAATGTCTCACCTTGACACAGCCCAGCTTCCCTTCCCTCCGCCCTAGACCCTAGGATAAGACAGGACAAAGAACTGGCTGAGCACAGGGGATTTTATTGATGGTACACGCACAAGGTGGGGCTCCCTAGGCCCCTCCCCTCTTCAAGGGGTCTACATGGAAACTGTGAGGGGAGATTCAGTGTGGTGGGGGACTGAGTATGGCAGGGACTCCCCAGCAGTGAGGGCCTCTCTCTTCCTCTTGTGCTCTCGCTGGGGCTGGTGGTCCAGGGGTCTTACTCCTTGGAGGCCATGTGGGCCATGAGGTCCACCACCCTGTTGCTGTAGCCAAATTCGTTGTCATACCTAGAAGATGAAGAGAGTCGTTAGGGCCCTTTTTCTGAGCCAGTCACCAGAGGGCGCCAGACTCTGCACCACTTTTTAAGAGCCTGTCTCTGGCCCCAGCCACATACCAGGAAATGAGCTTGACAAAGTGGTCGTTGAGGGCAATGCCAGCCCCAGCGTCGAAGGTGGAAGAGTGGGTGTCGCTGTTGAAGTCGGAGGAGACCACCTGGTGCTCAGTGTAGCCCAGGATGCCCTTGAGGGGGCCCTCCGACGCCTGCTTCACCACTTTCTTGATGTCATCGTACTTGGCAGGTTTTTCCAGACGGCAGGTCAGGTCCACCACTGACACGTTGGCAGTGGGGACACGGAAGGCCATGCCAGTGAGCTTCCCGTTCAGCTCAGGGATGACCTTGCCCACAGCCTTGGCAGCGCCAGTAGAGGCAGGGATGATGTTCTGGAGAGCCCCGCGGCCATCACGCCACAGTTTCCCAGAGGGGCCATCCACAGTCTTCTGGGTGGCAGTGATGGCGTGGACTGTGGTCTGGAAAAGGAGGGAGTGAGGCCCTGCAGAGTGCTCCCCACATCACCACCCCTCTACCTCCCTCCCCACCTTGAAAGGAAATTATGGCAGAGCCAGTCCCCAGAACCCCCGGCCCCCAGGGTTGCATGCAGCCCTGGCAGGGAGGAGGAGCCAGCCCTGCATGAGAAAGGCAGGAGCCTCAGTCCCATTCCCCAGCTCTCATACCATGAGTCCTTCCACAATACCAAAGTTGTCATGGATGACCTTGGCCAGGGGTGCTAAGCAGTTGGTGGTGCAGGAGGCGTTGCTGCAAACAAAGAGGGGGCGCAAGTCAGGGGAGCGTGTCCACAGGGTGCCAGGCTGGCCGCTTCTCCACTGGCCCTGCCTTCCTCACCTGACGATCTTGAGGCTGTTGTCATACTTCTCATGGTTCACACCCATGACGAACATGGGGGCGTCAGCAGAGGGGGCAGAGATGATGACCCTTTTGGCTCCCCCCTGCAAATGAGCCTACAGCAGAGAAGTAGACAGTTATAAACCCGGGTTCTGCCTCTGCAGGGCTCAGCCAGCTTCCCCTACCGCAGGCCCTCCTGCACTCACCCCAGCCTTCTCCGTGGTGGTGAAGACGCCAGTGGACTCCACGACGTACTCAGCGCCAGCATCGCCCCACTTGATTTTGGAGGGATCTCGCCTATGGGGTGGGGGAGACAGGGATAGGACGTATTGAGGGACACGAGGTTACCATGTACCCAAGGGAGCCGCACCACCCTAGCTGCCCCCCACAGCACATTTCTCCCACTGCCTTCCACTCACTCCTGGAAGATGGTGATGGGGCTTCCGTTGATGACGAGCTTCCCGTTCTCAGCCTTCACGGTGCCATGGAACTTGCCATGGGTGGAATCATACTGGAACATGTAAACCTGGGGGAATATGCGAGGGTGTGAAGGGGCTGCCTGGCAGCCAAGTGGCTCCTCCCACACCAGCTTTGGGGCAGCACTCACCATGTAGTTGAGATCAATGAAGGGGTCATTGATGGCAACAATATCCACTTTACCAGAGTTAAAAGCAGCCCTGGTGACCAGGCGCCCAATACGACCAAATCTAAGAGACAAGAGGCAAGAAGGCATGAGGCGGGGAGGCTTCTCCACAGTATGTGAGCTGCCCTAGAACACCTCCCCATTAAGAGGGCGAATGCAGCATCTCCTTACCCCCAGGAGGGCCCAAGAGGTCGAACTGTATCTCCCTTGAGCTCCCCTGCCAGGCTGGCCTGGCTTTACGGCATGGCTGCAACTGAAGGCTCCACTGCTGCCTCACACCCCCTGTCATAGGAAGCCCTTCCAGGAGAAGCGGCCATGTGGGGCACTGCCACCCACAGTCTGGGCACAAGCTTTGCACGTGGCATTCAGCACCCCACTATGCCACCCCAGGAATGTTTGCTGCTGCCTAGCTCAGCTTCAAACTGCACCGTTTAAGGAGAAAAGATTTGTACACTCAGCATCACCAAACTCAAAGGGCAGGAGTAAAGGTCAGAAATTAATTGGACAGGGCAAGCCCACCCCTTCTCTAAGTCCCGCCTACAAAAGGGACAGAGATTGGGCCGGGGGAAGAGGGGAAGTTGTTTTTTAACCCCCTAGTCCCAGGGCTTTAATTTGCAAGCTTCCAGTCCTTTCCTAGCTCTTTTCCAGAATTCAGGAGTGGGAGCACAGGTGTGTGCATGTGTGTGGGAGAAGGGATGGGAGACGGCCCAAGCCCAGGCCCCCAATGACAGAAAGGTCAGCAGCTATATTTATCCTCAGACCAGGGTGCGGTGGGAGATCTGGTTTCTGGAAGACGGAATGGGGAGAAGGGCAGGTTTCCCGAGGCTCCCAGACACCCAATCCTCCGGGTGACATTTACAGCCTGGCCTTTGGGGTGGGGTCAACGCTAGGCTGGCAGGGGAAGAGGGGGGCCATAAGGTGAGCCGCCGCTGCAGAAAGGGGCCACCGCCAGAGGGGCCATTTTGCGGTGGAAATGTCCTTTTCCAACCACCGATGACTCAGCTCCCCCCGGCTTGGAACCAAGCCACAGTCACCACACCTCTGGAGGGAGGGGACACAGGAGGACCGCCATAAACCCACTTCTTTGATTTACCAGAGAATTATCTAGAAAAAGCATCACCCGGAGGGGAAAGAGGGCTTGCAGCTCAGGGGCCAACTTGAGAGCAGGGGCCGGGAAGCCTCGCTCCACCTGACTTCCCCGCCACACGCGACTCCACCCACCGAGGCAGGAGCGCAGGGTTAGTCACCGGCAGGGTTTCCTAACGGCGGCCCATTCATTTCCTTCCCGGTTGCAACATGGCGGCCGCTCTACCGCAGGCGCAGCCTCCGGACTGGGATGCACCCGCTGCGCACTAGCATCCCGGGGCCTGCGGTGCCGGAGGCCATGGGGGAGGGGCTCCTCTGCGACACGTGACCTCGCAGAGCGCGAAAGGAAAGAAAGCGTCCCCAGCTAGGGGTCCGGGTCGGATGGAATCTCGGGCGGGAGTAGGGACCTCCTGTTCCTGGGGACTAGGGAAGGCAGGCCCCGGGCAGATGGCGCCGCAAGGGCGGAGATGCACAGGGCGCCACAGCCTGGGTGCGGGGCTCCGCCAGGTCCGAACGCTGACCTTGAGCTCTCCTTGCCGGGCGCAGCTACCCTACCCCATACGACAGCAAAGACCCGGAGCCCGCAAGGCTCGCAGACGCAGTTCGTGGGCGGCCCAGGGCCCCCCAGCCACCCACGAACTCACCCGTTGACTCCGACCTTCACCTTCCCCATGGTGTCTCAGGGATGCGCTGCGCGGAGAGAGAGAACAGTGAGC